TTACATGGGTGTCACTCGACAATGCGTTCATAATCTGGATGCGTCCACTGGTTTACGGTCCCTCTAGTTGGACTGTGTCTGTGAATCGATCGGGTCTGAATAGCCACTCACCATTTGATGCCATTAGCGTTTCCAGTTGATGATCAGCGAGAGAATGGTTTTGTTTTTCGCGACATCCCCTCATTCATTGGACGCGAAATCAATGTCCAACCATGACGGTTGTGTCTGTGATCATCTGCACGGATTTACTCAAGCGCCGTGGATATTGATTGTTTTTATTACCATTATTATTACTGTCTTCGTTGTTTGCACTCAATACCCACGAATCCGGGTTTAAATGTTCCATTCTTTCCGGGTGCTATTGGGGGTTTTGGATCCTCAACTACAGAGGATACCCTTTTTGATTCCTTTCGGTTTCGACTTCGGAGTCTCCCAGTGACCCACGGATTCCTTTTGTAATAATCTGATCGGAATAGGAAGCTAAATGGCTGGGTTGCGTTTGCTCCGTTCAAGCAGCAACAGCAGCTGCTTCAAGCCACAATGTGTGTGTGCGTATTTCCGAATTAGGTCGGTTAAATGGCTCTATTACAACTCATTTTGGCCGAACAATTTGGTGTGGATTCGGCAACGTTTCGTATGTTCGACATAGAGCGGAAGAGTGAACGCGTTTGACCGGTACAATGTATCGTTTCTGACTGAACGACCAAAGCATGATGGTTTTCAATTTTCTTTTTTGGATTAGGTATCTGAAATTTATTTCCCATCCACGGACTACACACACATCACACATACGCATGCAGTTCAGTGTTTACATGCGTGTAAACATTTTGTCTTCCATCCTTATCAAATTCCACAAAAATAAAACGTCTGGCGGTCAAATTTGAGTTGTCGCATTCTGTGCCTATCGTCCTCCCCCCTGGTTGTAAAACTGTATGATGCCCATTGAGGTGTGTTGTGCTGATGGACAGTGATGCAACCTAATTCGACTTGTTTGCTCTTTGAATGATAAAATTATCGGTCTCAATTAGCCATTTTTGAGTCGCGCGATTATTTAACTATTTTTTTTCGGGATTAAAGTAACCTACGATCAGTTTTACTGATAGGAAACTCTTTATCACCAAGATTTTAGCTTCAGCTCTCGGTGGGTCATTGTAGCTAAGACGTTCATGCCTTTGGTCCCTTATTTCTTCGAAAAATCTCGGTCAGTGGATAGTTGTGTGACGGTTCGATTATCTTCAGAAAACGTCTTCACCACATTCGGGGAATCGCAGTCTTATTTTCCAGTCCCATTGTTCTTTTTATATCGTTAGATGAAGTGTTGATTTATGCTACGGTTTAAAATCTCCCCGACTGGGTTGAGCATCTTCTCTTATATTGAGCTCCTCATATTTCTTGTTTACTTTCCTCTTCATACTTTTGGCTGTTATTTTTAATTGGTATTTCGGACGTGCGTTCAGCAGATAACCCATCCCGATCACAATCTGAGCGGCGCAGATAGACACATTTGGGTTCAGTGATTTGTGTGTGTGTGCTCACCAACTTGACTCGTGTTCCCCACTTTCATTGTGCTTCTATCCGGATCAGATGGGATCGCAACTCCGGTTTGGCTCGAAATCAGTACCAATGCAGTCCATTTATTTTAATTTAACACCCGAGGCTCTCAGGTTTGTTAATGCTGTTGGTGCTGGTCAAAAATATGAGTGTGTTGGGTGATGG